AATGTTAATACAAAGTGTCAAATGAATGTAACAGAAGTAGTTTATTCCAAATTGTATCACAAGTATATAGAGATAGAGTTCAATTTTGTCAAAAAAATAGTGGCTTGGGATTTGAACCGCCGACCTTACGTACCAACGGCGGCGAACGGTAAGGCCACGAGACCAAACTAGCATATATGATGACAAACTTAAATTTGATGTTGGTTTTATCTAAATAATATCTGTCATCCGCGTCGAACACTTTTAGTAAATTTTGAAAAATGGTTTGATGCAAATTGTCAAATGAATGTAACAGAAGTAGTTTATTCCAATTTGTATCACAAGTATATAGAGATAGAGTTCAATTTTGTCAAATGTACCGATATTTTTGCGCACCTTGACTGCTTCGTTACTTATGACGCTGTGGCTGCTACGATATTTATGAGCATCTTGCATGTACTCATATATTTGACGCTGTGTATGTACCGATGTATTTGAGCAGGGTGAATGTATCTATTAATTTGAGGACTTTTGTTGTACCGATATAATTGAATACTTTTGGTGTACCTATATATTTGCATATCTTGTCTGTGACGATCTATATGACGCTGACTGTACATAAACTTATCTGAATTTAATGAACATTTTTACTTAAAGCTCAAAATGTTAAAGATCTGTATAAAAGTCATTATTTTGACATTGTTCAGCAAATTTTTAAACTTTTTATATCAACGGTCAATATTCAAATCTCGAAACTGTAACCTAATATAAACTATGTAATATGTCCTTCCATCAGTATCGAACTTTTAACAATGTAAGAGTGAACAGGCGAGCGAGTACGCTTGCATTTAATGAAATTTATGTGACGCGGTCATGAGTAGCGCCACACTGCATTACAAGCTTAAAGGCACTACACCACAGATTTCACTGTCACCCTAAATTTAATGTGTTAATTGCGCGGGAATATCTATTCCACGTTTTATTTGTCGTTGGTTTAAAATTACTGTTACACAAAAAAAAAATAACATTGCCAGTCTAAAAGTATTCTTAATTATTCAGGTAACTACGAAATGACATGTTTCTCGACACATCTGGACATTATGATAAAACCATCCTGAAAGGAAAGGAGATTTGGACCACAATTTTATCCCTATAATCATATTTTACCCATTCCATACTGCAAGTATCCTCTATCATTCCAAGTCCTATAATAAAAGAATGCTTAGTTCTTTCAACAGCCTGTGAGGAGATGTACAAGGTCAACGGGTGCTACGAGTACAAGATATGTTTACACGATGTGCTGTGCGTGCTTTGCTACTGCGAAAGCAACTTTATTTTTTATTCGCGGTTACGGTTAGTATCTTTTATTGTTAAGCTGTTTCTATACTTTGATCGATTGTAAATCAGAATAGACCTTTAAAATTTTATAAGTATGTAAATTAAACGCCTGTAATAAGTACTAGGCAAATTTACGATTCGAAAAGTTTTGCTAATTACAAAGTAGGAGTTTCATTTTACTGACGCTAGTCGTCATGGGTAATCTTTAAGAAATTTTAGGAAATAAAAAAAAGAGAAGTGGCATAATACCGCGCACTATGATCGCCTGATGAGGTACAAGTTGTTATTTCCAGAATAATTTACATAGAGATGGATTAGCGTCCCGCGGGTCGCGCACCCGTTGAATTTCTATTGTTTAGATTGGAAAACTAAGTGTAGTCGTGACTTTCCTCTCACGTCATTATTAGATTGCCGGTAACACCGACGACGCACTATCATATTATACAAGTAATATATACGAAAACTTATCTCCGTTCTGGTGATATTCTTATATCAGAGTAATCTTCTTCTATATTAAAAATGTTGGTCTAAGGCCCGGTCAATATTTTCATATCCTATTTAGATTTCGAATTATATTGTATTTAGAGGTAGAAAATTCAAGTTTGAGGTAGAATTTTCGCATGGCTTTAAGAATTTTATGTATCAAAGACAACAGATTAAAAAATAAAGAAATTTAATTTTAAAATCCGAAATTACTTATCTGTTGTTGTCCCTATTATTGTTGACATCATAAAATAAAACCAACACTTAGACCAAATTAAAACCTTTTAAGGACGACTGATTAACAAGTTTTGCAAACATCCTTGTTAACATTCTAACTAAGATTTGTTAACAAGATGATTCACCTTCATACTAAGTTTGCCACTTTGAACCTTATGTTTAGGTCTTGTACTAACAACTCATAAAACTTTTCGTATCGTTTCTATATCCATAGATATATGAAGATCCACTAGCATTGTTAATTATTAATCTAACATAGAAACGTAATAATTAATTAAATTCGCGTTCTCCATTATCCGGACAATCGAAATGGTTTAACGTAGATGTCGATGGGGTTGAGAACGAATCGATTTTCTAATGGCCCTGTGACCACCCGGCCCCGTCGAGATTGACTCATTTGCACTGCATTACATTACCGACTGACACGCTCAGCCACTCTCATCACGATCATAATCAACGGAAAGCTTTGCTAAACTCCTTGCTAAGATTTACTACTGGCCAAATAAACTACTTATCGGTATTCAAGATTTTTTTTGTTTAAAAAGACCTTACCCGCTCTCAAGACTGACACCTTGTAAAATGTGAAATGCTGTGAAAAAATGTGAATGAAAAGATATCTGACCCGCGAGCATGCCAATGCCAAAAAAGTTTACATTATTTCAGTTTACTTTACAGCAATTTTATAGGGGAATATAAAAGAAGATATGTTTTACATTTAATAAACTTTTCTACAAACGATGTATGTAATATACAAACAATATTTTCAAAATACCTATATTATCTTTTGACTTCGGTACCAACAATGTACGATCTAAATATCTAGACTAGTCTAAATTCAATGTTCTGCTATCGGTATGCCGTATGCTCCATACACTGATTTATTTATTACCAAGTTCAATAACCCACTCATGATTATGAGGTCGCCCGTCTCGTTCTATCTAGGCGGCGAATTCGTTACACATTTCTAAATTGGCACGCACGGTGTATTTCTGTGGACCAAATTCACAATAGTGGCAGTCTACGAGTACTTTAAAAAACTAACCACGTATTGATGTATAGAGTAATTTCTAAAATGCAACGGGAACCTGTTTAGTATTTTATTTTGTTACATTGTTGGCCATTTAAAAAATAAACACCTTAAAATATATCAAAAATGAGGTATTCAAATATAAATGATATGTTTACCTCACAACACGTCTTATTAAAGCAAGTGCTTGTTTTAGTTGAGAGATAACGTTATCCATGTTTTCTAGGCACATTTTACTTTCGTTCCATGATTTAGCTACTTACACCTTTTGCCGATTAAAGTCAAGTTTCGAGTCATAACAAAACACGACAAATAAAATACTTATGTCCGCAAGTGAATGCTTTCAATTATAATACTTGTATTAAAAATTATGGTTATAAATATTAAGAATAAAATGTTTACCTTTTAGATCCAGGTAAATCGGAAGCAAATTTCCTTTTTCATAGTTGGTTGTCGTGTTTTCTTTTTATTCACTACATTGGCACTAACTGTTTTATTTCTTAATTTTATTTCGTTCAGTATTCAACGCATCAAATTGAAGCCGTTTTTCAAAATGGACTGTTGTGTGAGAGAATTCAATCTTTGTGGGTAGGTAGATAACACAAACCGTCATACTATAAAGTAGCTTTTGCCTTGTTATAAAAGTATAGATTACAAAAAAGAATGTATCAAAAAATGTTTAATTATGCTTGCAAATATAATTTTTAATAATTTATTCCGCTTGACTGCATAATTTTACGAATTCACAAACTGTTGGACTTTTGTGTGGGTTTCCGGCGTCCTGGATTTGATTACCTATTTTGATGTATAACATAGCATTTATGTAGTTAACATTGATTATTTAGGTATTCTATTACATGTTTAGGAAAGTTAAGTGTTTTTTTTAATGATCCTACTCCCGATTCAATTTTTTCTTCATATTCAAGCAATCAATAGTCACATGACGAATAATTTAAAAGATGTCATGTCGTAAAAACTGAACGAAGTAGGCAAGCAACCAAAATGTAGATAAAGGTCGTTGTCCTAAACAAAAGTATTCGCACACGTGCAAACATTAGTTGCGCCATCTTTCTTTATGTTTCAAAAACACGAAACATGCTTGATTCCCATTACTAGACGATAGATGGCGCTAGCAGAGACCGAGGCAGATGTGCGAATCTGCGAATTTGTGATAACAAAAATGTCAAGGCCAATGTTAATAATTTTTATGTTACTTACTATTTCTATTTTTAGTGATAAAAAGCATTGTATTCAACATAATTATTTATATTTGATATAAATAAATGAGGCTTTACCGAAGTATTTAGTAAATTCTGTTTAATTTTTCACATCACATAACCTCAATTCGGTATCTATGGATTTTGCACGAAATACGGTTTAGCTGTTTATAATGAGTATATTAATAATTTTACTATACTAAATGATAGATAATGGATACTCTCAGGCCTAGAAAACATTAAAGAAAAGAAAACTTACACAAAACCACTTTTCTGCTACAAACTAATGTTGCAAATTTTAAATTTAGCGCCACGCTCAGATACGAATGAAGTTCGCGTTGCGAATACGGGCCGATTATGATGTGAAAGATATTCCGAAGGCCGTGAGGTGCCGTGAGTGAACACGGAAATCGAGATGTGTGTGTGGTCAAAAAGACAGTGCAAGGTAGGGGTCGGGTGGCGTTTGTGATGGCAAAATTTTTGCAAATGGTGAGTTAGGAATTATTGACTTTGTGAACAAGGAAGTTTATTCTGATTTGTGTTAGTGAATTAATGGTGTGTTAGAGAAAATTTCGTTGATAAATGATAATTTTAAGATACTGAGATACGGGATCGGCAAATGGCGCTACGAATAGCTAAAGTTGACACAACTACGCGTTTAGAAATCCCGTTTGTCCTTCGATCATCAATTTCAAGGCATGCGGGATGTTCTGTGAACAGTACAATAATAGTGCACCTACAAATTCCTGAAAGCACGCGTTTGATTAGCAACTGGCACATCCAGCTTGGCGATTATAACGGTGTCAGCATGTTGCGATTTTTTTGGCCAGCGGTACTACTTTTCTAAACTCGTTTTATAGAGGCGGCTAGTGGTTTTCGCGTCCCGTAGGGTCGGTGGCCCCGCCGTGTGTCTTCTGGAGTTAAATTACATAATGTAGGGGTCTCGGTTGGAGCATGCAACAAGTAGATATGTGTCGGCGGGCTAACTGTCAATCTTGAGTACAGTAAGCTCGCTGCCCGCGGCCCGCGGCCCCTATTAATTCGAGCCGCTGATGTCACTTATCTTTGCGCTCTACTATCTAAGCCCTATGGCCGCAATTTTTTTGCACATAGTGGCTTTAATGTGTATTTGATAAACAGCGCACGTGTCTAATTAACCAGAGGATTTAACTATTACCAAGGTTTATGATGCAAGTATTTTAGTCTACAGCAGAACATTCCTAACTTTTGAATTTAATTTAAGTGTGAGAATTTTCTGTGGCGCTTTTTGGCGGTAAACATATTGTGTTAGTTAAAATGTGATTGTTTACAGCACGGTCACTGACATTAGCACCCACAATGGACCAGCAATTCTGTTTGCGCTGGAACAACCATCCAAACAATCTGACTGATGTGCTTGCAAGCCTGCTCCAGCGTGAGGCTCTCTGCGATGTCACTCTTGCCTGTGATGGGGAGACGGTCAAGGTAAGTTTAGTCGACTTAAATTAACTTTACCTGCATATCTCTATGAAAATTTAATTTCAAAATGTTAGTGGTGTTCGGGAATATCATTAAAATTATTATGATTCTTTTATTTACTCTTCTCTATATACTGTTGATATCTGTGTAAATCATTTCATATTTAATAAATTTAAATGTAAAATAATGTTTTCAGTATTACAAAAAATGTAGTAAGTTTTGATAGATGCATCATGAACATATTTATTTGTATTGTCATGTTGATACATGGCTTGCATTCATGAATTAAATATATTATGTTGACATGTTAGAGCAGCTGTTTATTATGTCATAACAAATTGCATACAATAGTAAACAAAGTTGAGTAACAGACAACACAAAACATCTACAATACAGTTTACATTTAAGCTGTTAATTCATAAATATGAATCATTCAATTCAGTTTAGCAATTTCTATAGCTACAATTTTTCTTCTATTATAAAAAAAAATGCTTAAAATATAAAATAGTAGAAGCCCAGAATGTATAAAATAATATAATCACCTCTAATGTGCCTTCATATGAGCCATCAAATCAAGGCAGACCACATTGTATATATTCAAATATTTGCTAATTCTGCAAGGTTATTCTTACACAAAATGTTTTTTGTTGTGTCGTCTTAAAATCTTGAGTATAATTTGCATAAACTACACAGGTTGTATGCTTTTCAAGGGAAATAATTGGTTTTGTTAAGGTCAGATGTATTCTAGTTTTTTTAGCAACATGCTCCGGTTTAGCCCGGGTGGCAAATAATGTGTTTGGCCTCCTATCAGCTCTATTCGTAGTACCCTTCCTGATGATGATGATCCATCTTATTTTTTGGTTACCTTTTTAGTTTGTGATTGTTTGAAAATACGCACTAGAGCAGAGAGCACTAGTGTAGACCCCACTACTACTACTACTTGTGATATCTTCTAAACTATTTGTCAGAATCATGTTCAGTCTGAAGTAACGTTAATTTACATTAAATTCTTCTGTTAATGAATACATTTATTTGGATAATTTATACATGATATCCATAAATTGGCTCTGCAGATAACATGAAATTTCTGAGATCACTGTATCGGTTGAAGAAACATAATTTTTTGTTAAAATACTAACTGCAACCCATTCATTGCCGTGTTTTGTAAAGTTAAATCCAAAATTTCAAATTAATAATATGCAAAAATTTCCATGATTCAAAAAAAATCTATTTTTAGAAACAAACCAGTGGCGTTGTCTGTTTGTACCAATAGATGCTAATATGAAATTTTATTTATGCAATTCATTTATAGCATTTTCTCTGGTTCTGTTATTTATTGGTTGTTATAACTTAACAAATTATTCCTTTGACTTATTAAAATTCACGAATTTTGAAAGTTTGAAGTTTTATGCTAATAAAATGCAATTTAGTTTGTAGGTCGCCAGTGCTATTCGCTGGCTGTATGTTAGGTAGTCTGCATAAGAGCTGCATGTCGTTAACTTTCTAATTTTTATAACACTTGTTTGTCTGGTTTTAGGGTCTAGAAGACCAATCCAGTGCATATATTTTTTGCAGACTGTAACTCATTTTATTAGTGTTTTTAACAGTTCTTTAAACATAAAAATATCAAATTAATTTATGATATTTGTTTATCGTCTCTTTTTAATTTGAAATTGGATAGAATTGTTAATTAATAGACAACTTTTGGCAAATATACAGAGATGAAATGGTAATTTTATAACTGTCCAGCTTTTGTTTAATAGTTTATCTTATAGATAGACTAGCAGTTACTCCCGACTTCGTCCTAGCGGAATTAATAAGTCTAGTAATAAATATGCCATATCATCTGGGGATGGGGTAGCTCCCTAACAGTGAAAGGTTTTTTTTAATCGGTTTAGTATTTACGGACACTAATAAATGCAAACAAGCAATGTATGTAACAAATAATTTTCGAACCAAGTTCATTACTTTTTACGCAGTAATGAGCAAGCATACTAATTAACATTTTCATACTGACAAAAAACATGTTACACTATACAAAAGCTATAGTGGAATTTTTAATTCCCCTAAATGTAGATAAAAGTTTTATTTTTAGAAATCTATAAATAGCAATATATTTCTGTGAAAGTAAAAATGTTAAGTATTGAATTAAAAATTCATTAACTACTTACAAAATCCAAACCATTTACATATTAATGCGACATAAAAATATATTATTTTAAAGTTACATCTCACACATAAATTTCAGTGAATATTTAATTAAATAAGGGACATTGTACATGGATTGTTTCAAGCAATCAGTACCTACAGCAGTTCTAATATGTCTGCCTTAAGCAGACGAAGGAGTTTGCATTATTATGATTATTCAATATTTTCTTTTTGGTTTAATTATGTTTCTTATACATTAAAAACATAGGCCTTGTGATGCGATAATTAAATTTGAATTTCTAAAATTTACTACCAAGTCTAAAGGAACCTACTTTATCTAAGTTACACAACATATTTATGTCTATAAATAGATATACAAGAGTCTATATACTAGACATTAACAGTTCATTTAATGTTCAATTTCTAACTCATTAAATTAAATTTGTTAGTATAATTACAATTTTGACTTTTACGTTTTGTATATTTACATATATCTATACATAAATACGTCGAACGTCCTTGGCTCAGTGGTTAAGCACTTGACTTGTTATATGCATGTTCTGGGATCGAATCTCTCCATGTACCAACGTGTTTTGTGATTTTATATTAACATGTAAACTTATCCAATATACATATGGTGAAGGAAAACATCCTATTGCAACCTGCACATATCTGCGAAGAAGTTCAAAGATAAGTGTGAAGTCAAATACCTGCACTAGGCCACAGTGGTTGACTAAGGTCTAGTCTTAATAGTAGGCTCCGAGCCCCTCAGTGGGGATGTGTAGAGGTCTGATGATAAGTAAATATGGAAGTTGTACTATTATTGTGTTCAATAAGTATTACACATTGTTGCAGGCGCACCAGACAATTCTGTCAGCATGTTCTCCATACTTTGAGACCATATTTTTGCAGAACTCTCATCCGCATCCCATAATATTTTTAAAAGATGTGCGATTCTCAGAGATGAAGTCACTCTTGGATTTTATGTACAAGGTAAAATAATATATACAAAAATGTTCATTAAAGTAAGAATAATGTAATATTTTAATTAATTAATATTTAATTTATTTCAGGGTGAAGTAAATGTTGGCCAAAATATGCTACCTATGTTCCTAAAGACTGCTGAAAGCTTACAAGTTAGAGGTTTGACAGAAAACAACACACTAAATCCTAAGGTAAATATATTTTTACGTATTATAATTTTTTTATTTATTGTTTTAATTTATTTTTAAAGTTGTTTCCTATATTTTGTGATGCATATAGATGTGTTTTTCCAATAATTTAGTAAATGCAAATCGAGACCACTATTAAAGGTTAATTAAATCGGGTAATGAAATAATTTGTATCTAAACAACATTTAGGTGAATTGATGAAGAAACTAATATTTAACTTAATCTTCATGTCTAGCTTTTGCTGTACTGTTATTTCAAAATACAGTTATGTTATAAATGGAACGCGGATGTGTATTACGTGTACTTATATTGCATCCTTCGTTTTTCTAGTTTAAGTGCAGCTCAAAACATTATATCGTCTTAGTAATTAATTATAAGCGCATTAAGGAATTTTCTCTTGTTGACGCGCCATATTTTCTCGTGGCCTTGATATTTGTGACAAATGATAAGCCGAGAGTCTGCCAGCTAGAATCGCGTAGCACACGTGCACCCTTTTCTATGAACTAGTTTGCACAAACCGGTATATTTGCAAGCGTTACGCTAAATTTAAAACATTGAAATTTAACAAAATTCCGTTCGACGTGTCTGCGAGTCCTCATTATAGATTTACTGCAATCTAATGACTTTGATAGTCCAATGTATGGAAAATATTCGATTTGTAATTCTCAGAACGTATAGTTTATACCTGTATTGAGACATATTTGGCGTTCAACCACCTCAAAGTCTATTGAAATGCTGTATACATCGAATTATTACATACATACGTATATCGTATATAATATATGCCGGTGATAACCATAAAATGTTATCTATGTACATCGTAACTGCTTTACTCTAAAGTACATAGGTATTGTTTACTTTTCAGAATAAAATTGCCTAAAAAAGGTTGACAAAAATTCACATGTTAATTACTTTTAACCCCAAATTTTAAATAGATTATGGTCTACATAATAGTTGTGCCAAATGCAAAAATAATGAAAAAAAAACAATCTTAGTTGTTGAGATTAGCGCGATCAAACAATGGCCATAACTTTATATAAGTATATAAGATAGTAGCACGATAGTATATAAATAGCGTATTTTACATCTAGCAAACATTCTAAAAACGTCTAAAGGTACATCAAATGAGAATAAAATCCTACGTAATCAGGCGACCTAAAATTTACATTCCAACTATACTGTTCTAATCTCTAAGAATGTTAATGTCGAGAGAAGCAAATATATCAATGCCATTTGCCGAACTTAAATAGGAAACAATATATTTTAATTCTCAATCTGTATTCTCTGAATTAATGTTGTAAATAAAAGAGTAAGTGATGATAATATTACTGGTATTAAAAGACTAACGGCAGATAGCGTGCATGATAAATAAATAGTATCTTTCCTCTTACTTGCAAATTTTAGTACACACTAAAACACCGTTAGAAAGAATAACAATAAAATTAATGACACAACGGAACTTCTCCTAAAAGTCTTAATAAAATATAATAAAAGAATTATTAACAGTAAAAATTTTAATTTAAGTTATTTCGGTCGCCTGTGCTATCAACTTGGAGGGATTACATCTCCATTAACAAAAACGGTATAAACATTTATGTCAGAATTATGGAAATCAATGCATATAGCTCTTTAAAAATGCTAGTCTATCTATTAACCTAAATATAAAATTTTACATCACTAAATATTTCTATTTGCAATTTATAGTTGAACTTTGTAGTCATATCGGCTTTAGAAGTTGACCTGTGTTACGATTATACTAAGCGTAATTAGGAGCATCTTAAATAATCCGTTGAAATTGTGATTAAAATTTTTTGCAGCTAGTACTAGAAAGAATTATTTTTCGGAACGGCATAAAAACTTGGGTTAATCGATGTGATTAAAGAAAACAGTTCATAAACGTTGAATATTCTATATTGTGCAGACGGAAGAGCGATCAACACCATCAGTTAGTGCGGAGAACCTGTCTCGCGGTGAGTTCGCGAGCCCGCCTGCTGCGCATGCGCACGGCGGCAGCACGCCGCTGCCCGCGCCCCCCGCGCCGCCCGCGCCCCACGCACCCGCTCCCCCCGCACCGCCAGAGAAGCGGCGCAGGAAGAACTCATCTCTGCCACGTGACGATGATATACCATACCGGCACTATGAGGTTAGTGGAATTGCTATAATATGTCATGTTTTCATTATTAATATATCCAATTTGTTATTCAACCACTTGAGTCTCATAACCCAGCAAGCTTTAGTTATAAACTTCAATTTCAGTTAACATCTGTAATCCTATACGCATCAAAAGCCCTTTTGTGGTTGTCTTATCTGTGCTTTGTTGAATCAAGAAAAGATTTTGATGTATGAACAGTTAAAAAGAGGTTTATAATCTATGACAACTCTAGGAGACATAACTTAAACAATGTGTTATGAATAGTAGTCATTGTAACATCTTTCAATTTTCATCATATTGTGCCTATTACTGTTTTGAAACATTGTATTTGTTGTTTTGTTCAAAGTATCGGGCAATTGTTCAAACTTTACTTCTATTAATTAATTAGCTTGCGATTATTGATAACTGCTAATTTGATAGACATGATTCTCAGCAATGTTAGGAGAAGTGCTATCGTCACGCTATGCCTGTGATATTTAATCATGCTCATGTTTTTAGGCATATAAAGTGACTCATAATGCTACTAGAAGCACGAATTGCTTCATGAAAAGTACTTCCTTGTTGTTTAGTTGAATGTGGAATTATGTGCAGTAAAGTATAGGTGTACAGTGCAGAAGTAAATATTTTTTTTTTATATCAAATGGTGGCAAAGGAGCGAGCGGCCGGAAATCGCTGAAATAGCGTAGTGACCGTTGCACATAGACATACGCAATTGCAATTGCAATTGCATATGCGTTGCCTACCTTTAATCAACGGAGGAGAGGATGCACAGAAAGAATATATTTTCTTCCTTTCCATGCATCCTCTCATCCGGAAAGTCCACTTTCACTTCCCATCCTTTCCTTATAAGGAAAAGGGTGGGAAGGGAAAGAGGACTAATATTGGCCTCCGGGACGCACACTCATCAGACGAAACGCGGAATAGCTTCCACTAAGTAGCTTCCAAAATATAGTTTATGTGTACGTGTACAGTCGCACGCGAAAGGTGGTAAGGGTGGTTCAACGGGGTCGGGTTCGGAGCCGTCGACTCCACCGCCGGCGCACACGCCGCAGCGCCTGACGCCGCTGGTGGCGCACGCGCACGTCAAGCAGGAACCGGACGCGTACGCTACGCCGCACCCCGCGCCGATGCACCCGCCTCCGCACTTTGACCAGACACATCTAACGGTCAGTCCTATATGTTTAACTCATTATAGAATTTAAAAAATAGCCTATAACATGTCCGCGTACATCAGCTACCTTCCCGTCCAAGTCCCGTTAAAATCCGTCCAGCCGTTCCGGAGACTACTAGGAACAAACGCGGCCTTGTGGACAGACATACAAAAATATAAAAAAATGTTTTTCGTTATCAATACCTATGATAGAATTGCTTTCAAAATATTTGTAGTTTCTGATAGGTACATCCTTATCCTTCTCTTCTCTCTTTATCATATTATTTTCTTTCCCTTAAAAAAAAACAATTACTGGCTCAAATAGTTATGTCATAGATTGCTATACTATATGAAATATATGACGATTTCAGGGAATGGGAGTAAATGAAATGGCATCTATGTTGACTCAGCACCCACTTGGTAACGAATGTAGCGAGAACGAGACAATGTTGCAGCCCCACCCGGACCAGACAGACACCATCGATGGTAAGTCAATACATTGTTTATGAGATGACCACAAATATTAACAATAATAGACAAACACTTGTTTATGTACTACATTAAGATGTTTCTGGTACCGGACTTTATAATAGAATATATGTCATTTGGGCAAATAATGAACATTTTATTTAAATTAAAATTGAATATTTCTATGTCATAGTTAAGTTTGTGGTTATCTTGAATATATTAAGAAAGGAGAGCTATTTTTGACAAGGCATTCTAAAAATTAATACCCTAATAAATTAATCTTGAACTTTGAATTAAATAAAAAACATTGTCACAATAGCTTTTCTGTATCTGTTATATGTTTTCTGTGTTGCCAGCTTTTGATATTCTGCTTAAATATTTGGAAACATAAATTGGTGTAAATAATATTATAGTTCCAAATATTATCTTATAAATGTGTTGTTTTTTTAAAGGCATGACATTAACACCTTACAGCATGATGTTTTTACTCTTGCTTCTATCATTCTTCTCTGATTTGCACCAACCATTCATTAATAGCTTCTTTATAATACTTTGGCTTATATATATGTTTTTTTTATCGAAGAAATCGGTGTGGTTATAAAAAAAGTCGCGTAAGATTTGGCGCTCCCCTGTTAAGGTCGTGTGAATTTTTGACGTAAAATTACAAGTGTGTGTGTAAAAGATTTAGGTGTAAACAAACGGTGAATTTGATTATTAGGCTTGATTTTTTTTAAGGTATGCATGGATACAATGGAAATAATGTAATGCGTAAGTTTACTTGAAGGAACGTGTCTTGAAGGAAAAGCATGCGTTAAAATAAACTTAGAAGTGAACCAATTACATATCTTACAGGTGAAAACTTTGGCGTTGATGAAAACTCTAAGCCTCCCGAAAGATTCAACAAATTATCGAATATTAAAAGCATAATGAAAAGCTACAAAATGGCATTAAATCAAAATAAACCTTACAGTATACCAATGACTTGTAATATTTGTGGTAAAAATGTTGGCAATATAAAGAAACATATGAAATCTCATAATCCTGAACAACATAAATGTCCCTTGTGTCCAATTATATTGACTAGAGCTGATAATTTAAAGAGGCATCTACGTATGAAACATTGTTCCGTTTTGAAGTCTGACAATATGTCAAATATTCAAACAACATGTTGAATAGCGAGCGACCAAAACATAATATCTTACAATTCATAGGATTTTTTTTAAATAAATACAGGAATGAAATGTAGTTATATTTGTGATTGTTTTCCTTCAATTATGAGATTAGGGTGATATTTAATTTTTGTAATGTTAGATACAATTAGTCATTAGTTTTTATTAATGCATCACTTATGTGTGTAAGCCAATGAATTTAAAAAAATTAAAGTAATTTAAAAAAAATCATAAATTAATTAGATTTTTGTTTCGATTTATATAGTAAAAGCTTGAGGTCATCTTCACACTAATTCCTTACTAATAATACGTATGAAATTTATACATGATATACTCCAAAGAGGTAGCTATAAGATTTCTAAAACCAAATATTCCGTACTAACATTTCTTTCCTATAACATGAATTGCTTTCACAGGTTCTATTTCCATTTTGTAATTAGTAATAAGGTGTGGTGTGTTCATTTCTTTATAAACAGTCATAACAAGCACTATTATTTAAGTATAGAGTAAAAATATGTTTTTCTTTTGAAACGGAATGTTGATTTTGCTTCCCTAGTGTTTGTTATGTCTATGCTAAGAATCACTAAGCTATAGTCACACGGGTATAAAATGTATGGCTAAAATTTAACTCGGCTTTGTGCGATTTAACTTTCTTTTTTCAGTATTATTTTTTTAATAAAACTCTCACCCTTGGTTTAACATATAAATAAGTAAATAATATGGTCTAGATTTTTTTTATTTAATAATAATAATTCTCAGAATTGAGATATTCACGTTGATTTAATTTAGCTTCAACTGATTTTTTTTTAATTTCTTAATGTAAGGTTGAAGCTTCTCAGGGTGAATTTTGTATTTAATAGTATACTCAATTTTAAACACGAGCTGTGAGTATGGGATGGATATCATTTTATTTATGCTCAAGGTTTACTTGACGTAACAACAAAGCGTGTATTTAAATTATAAAAAAAATATTCATTGTACTCTTGTACAATATGTAAGAGCAATAAAATGACATCTTACCTTCGCTATGACGCACTAGCGATATTATGATCTCTTATTGTTCCTCGTAGTAAATATTGAAGTTAACAACAAAGCGTCCAAGACTGATTTTGTATTTTGCGACAACGTTCTTTAAATAATAATTTATTAATTTTTAAACAACTAACTTGTAAGTATCGTTATTGTGTGTTCGTTGCAAATATATTCCTTTTTTATTTATACTTATTTTTCTTTTCATTTTCATCCTCTTCCATGCTTAGTTTTGTTTACAGCAAACCTGTTTCTAAAAAAATCGCATTCTGTTATCGGCTTGGTGAAAGTGAAACTATTATTAACATTTCATGCAATTGTAACAACACTGACAAATAACAGACACCATTTCTTCAAATGCCATAATCGATTCATTTTTGCATGAATCTCTTGAAATATAATTATTTTTATGTAACTTTATTTCGGAGGTTTTGTTGATAATATAAAAATGTAATTAATAACTTTCTTATTAATTAATGAGCGCTTTTAAAATAGTGCTAGGAGAAGCATAGTTTAGCATTTACAAACTAATCTCGATGCTGCTTTGAAAACCTAGTGCTAACATTATGTTATCGATCTTTGAATAACCTCTTTGTGACCGACAGTAGAACTTTGACATATTAGCCTATTCGAAATATCTATTCTCGTATGATTTTTTTGTAACACCAGTAAAAAATGAAATTTTTTATCTTTTAAAATATCACACTTGTATGTTATTAATACTTAATCATATTTAAGGTTGATTATTCTAGGTTCTACTGTTTTAAACTTACTGATATCATAATTGTTAAAATCTAATAATTTCAAAGACGTGTAATAAAATGCTGCAGAACCAACAAACAACTTACCGTTAGCAGTATGCGATTATGAATGATGACTAAATATTTTTTAACTCCAAATTTCTACTCCCATTAATTATTTTGGTTTTTGAAGTTTTTTAATAATATTTATTTTATTGTTTTCCTATTTTTATTATAAGTAAAACCTACATCAATTCATTGTTATTTTTTAATTTCTTTGCAATGTATTATGATTATTATTAGTGTCTAAAAAGAGATCGTCTATCCGACCGTTGCGGACCATATCTCACTAAAACGTTAATTATGATAGATATGAATTTAATTCTCTTAGAAACATAAGGTGATCGATCGAATCATTCATAATCGCATCGTACCGCATTGTGAGAGTACGTAGGGGTGAGGTGAGTTGGCACTGCGGCATGGCACGGCATTCGGCGAGGGTGGGAGTGACGGCTCGGTGGTTGCAGGCTCGAAGGGCTGGCACATGCGGCTGACGTTCGAGCGGGTGGCGGGCGCACTCAACCTGCACCGCTGCAAGCTGTGCGGCAAAGTGGTGACGCACATACGCAACCACTACCACGTGCACTTCCCCGGCCGCTTCGAGTGCCCGCTGTGCCGCGCCACGTACACGCGCTCCGACAACCTGCGCACGCACTGCAAGTTCAAACATCCCGCGTACAACCCCGACACGAGGAAGTTCGAGCCCACGCCGCCGGTGTCCGCGCCCGCGCACGCCACGCATGCCGCGCACGCCACGCACGCGACGCACGGCACGCACGCGACACATGCGGCGCCGCTCTTCGCGAACCACCTCGACGCGAGCTTCGATTGATTGTCCATGTACTGGCTGGGCATGGACGCCGTGTGAGCGCGCGCTCGTGCACAGCCAGGCCGCTCCGCTCCGGCGGACAGACTCGTGTGTTTGCATTCTAATGGACCGTCTCGCGTTGACTTTCCTATTTAGGATTAAGCTGAAGTGCTATTACTTAAGCGGGCCTTAAATTCAGTTCTTAATGCCCATCCACGATGGGCCACTCGTTTTAGTATTGTCTCGGTTGTGCATTTGACTTGCCCCAGTGTGACCTTTTATAAGAATCCTATTATTGGATGTTATAATTGTTAGACGTTTTTCGAAAACAAAACGTAAATCCTTTTAAATGTCGCTTAACAAATCGAAGCGTTTATTAATGTAGGTAAGCAAATTTTTTTCTATACCAATCGCTATACGGGAACGGGCAAAAGCAATAATATGATGTTAATTTTATTACCATATTATTTTTTATATTATATCAATAGAAATCTTAAGCTATTTAAGGAGTATACACTATATTCAAGTAGCGGTGCGACCGCGAAGTTATTCTGGCTATTTAACGGCTGCCCATAAGCGGGCATTCATCGTCTTGTTATATTTATTCGTTAGATAGGGAATTCTGAGTTTCCTGTAGCTAATTGTATTTATGTTATATCCTATGAGTGGTGCGGAATGACAACAGCAGGTTGAGAGAACTGGCAAGAGATTGTGATCTGTCGTCGGTCAACGACATATAAATATTGACTGAATCTCAGTGTAGATGCATTTGTAACTCTATGAGGCCTTTGCAAGATGGATAATTATTAAGGATTTGTGATGTATTAACGGATAGCGCCTAAGGAAACATACGAAAAGATTTTTTTTTTTATACTAGACTAGTTGATCTATTTACGGAGATTGTTTTTTTTTATACTTAGATATATTCTATTGTCTGATTTAATATAATTTTATATTTATGTGACGTATGTATATGATTTATCAGTGTTGTTTGTTTTTATTGATCGAACCTATATGGTAACACTTCGCGACTTAGTTATGTTCAGTCGGCAGTGGATACACTGCGCGAGGCAGTCGTTGACGTTGTTGACGTGTTTTATAATTTTATCGTTGGTAGATGTTTTTACGTTTAGTTGTCTTAAAGGGTCGCCAGAGCCCATATGAGAACGGTGCTTGAGGTCACAGACCTCTTTTCAATTATTTTAAGATAGGGTGGAACGTTCGAGGGTTGCGCATTTAGTAACTAATATTGGCATTCTACGATTGGGACTAACCTAGCGTTTATGTATGTATTTTCAATTAAGATTTAAGATTGTTACATTTTTAGCTAAACACTTAGAGTGGTACGGTAACTGAAATGTGATAAAATGGAATGGTGCTAGAACCAAGAGTGTTAACACGCTACGATTCGACTCCTATTTGTAATATTTAATGTTTTAAATGATTAGTTACTTTGCATTATTGTAAGGCGTCTAGCATCCAGTTGCGGTCGCGTCCGTTGCGTCACATTTACGTGACGTTCTCGTCGCGCCACTAGACATTACAGTATCACTCGAAATATTTACCTTCGTTTTTTTTAAACGTTCAAATTGACTTAATATATATTATAATATAGAGATTTTTTTTACAAATCGAATCCAACTCAGCCAAAAAGTAGATGTCAGTCGTATGTACCGTTTCTTTAGTTTTTCATATTTCCTAAGTTGTGGCGGCGATGCTGTTTTAAGTAGCTGTGAACATGCAATTTCACTTGTGCAATTTTTTTTAATAGTCATAACTCATAACTAGATTTACATTTGCTTATTAAATATAGGGGCCCACTTGATATAAGCACTAAGCTCCTGTGTCCCGAGAGGGTATGCAAATATCACCAAACGTTTCTTCCACAAAGATTTTTTTTATATTTATTTTAGTGATAAAAAAGATGTTTATATACCTTACCAGTTGACGTGGGCGCTTATTATTTGATAGCATTTCATACTCAGTGCAATATTACTAGTTATTTAATTACGTAACCAAACTAAAGGATATTATAAAAGTAATGAATGTCTCCGAAAATGGAGCTAATACTTTTTTTTATTTACATAGTGAAGTACTTCTCATTTCTACATCTACCAATCAACTTTAAATGTCTGCAAATATGTTTTGTTTTTGTATTTAACATAAGTATAGAATTCCTTAATTTAATTTATAAAGAGAATTTATACTTTGTTTCTGTTTTAAAGTTAATAATTTTACTTTCTACCTCCAAATAGCGGCTTTATAAAAAGCAGATATAATATAATTTTTTTTTTCTTTTATGTCTTAAGAAGTACACACTTCTCTTAGTTTCTATTTTAATATTTTACCTTGCAATAGAATAAATCTTTACTAATTTCAATTGTATTGTTAAATGTATATCTCTTCCTAGTAACGAGGTAAGAGTGGCAGAAGGAGAGCGAGATAGTGAATAGGTTGTTTTTATATTAAACAGAAGTACTTCTCCTATTTTGTATGTAGGTAGCGAACGCAGTTTGGGTTACGGTGTTGTACAGGTTTCATAGCTGGTAATATTAAGGATTAGCTTGTTTACCTCTGCCAATCGTAATAGTTAATGTTTAATAATTTATTATTGTCGCGCAATTCAAAGTCTATTGTTGATGAATAGATCATAGCTATCCGATAAGGGCAGACGCTAGCGTACTTCGCCCGCGCGCCCGTAACTTCATCTAATCGTGAATGCATTTTTTTTGTATATTACTGTCACTCGAGACCAATTTTAAATATTGAATTTGCTATAGCAAATCGATCGATTAGTAATATAGATTATTTTAGATATTTTAGGTTAGGATACTATGATAGTGTCTGGCCAGAATATTTTGGAGTATCACATCGTTTGGCTCAGAAAATATCACCCCTTTGATCTCTTTACAGCTTTCAGAAAGTGTGCAACTTAATAAATATATAATGACCACGTAATTGGACTTATTGAAAGCTAACATTATGCCATATGGATTTACACATAAGGTTAACGAATTACTAAATTTAGTCTTATTGAAAATAAGGTCTTTATGACCTAGTCACTTATTTGGCCAATCTAATTGAATATTCCAATTTATTGTATAATAAAACGGCCTCTTAATATCACGGCGATGTGGTGTTATTCGGAATTCAATGGAGTGCAGGACGAGCGCTATGGTTATTTCAGGATAGCAATGGTCTAGTTATGTTTATTTTGTTTATTTTTAACATTAGCCAATTTGTTATAGTGTCGTGTATCAATAGTATAAATACTAATAGGCGGGGGTGTCAAATCGTCTACCTAACAACTATCCAATCGCTGTTGTTATATTTTTAAATGAAATTTTATGAAAGATTTGTTGTGTCTATGATATATTTCTAAATAATCTTGGTTTGATGCCTCCATTAAAAGTTTAATTTTGATTTTTTTTTGTTTTATGCAATCAGTTAATGCAATTTTTTTTATTTCACATTGATGTTATGTAATGCAATTTTAACATGTTGCAAACTCCTGCATTTATCTGTTGTATTTATTACTAATTTTTACATTAAATTGTGCTATGTTACAATTCGTGTAGTTTCAGTTGTGCGTGTCACTCGACCCATCCTCATTGTATGTCGGTAACTGACACCGGCTTGTGACACATCTAGCTGTCATTGTACACGGAGCAGCAACACTTCATGTCAGAGCATGCATGCGCCCATACCGAGAATAGACGACTCAAAAGTATTGCTGATCTTTATAAAACAAACGCCCAAGATTTGGAGACCGATAAATATTTAAAAACTTCTCAATTTTTGACAAAGATTTAAATGTGATCTTTTAATTTCAATATTCAGAAACAAAACCAAATTTCAATTAGTTATTTGCAAATGTACTGTCGCAAATTTTATTTGATTTTAAATTATGCGATTGTATTACTTAGAACAAATATATCAATCACACCATAAGTATATCGATAACATTAAAATTGTTTATATCTTGTTGATTGGAAAATGTTTCTATGCAAATTTCATATGTATTTTGTAGTCGTTAATAGAAACTAGTGGTTTTAAATTTTGTGATAAGGTCTTACCGTTAAAACAAATACCCAAGTAAATAACATAAGTTCCGATTGGAAGGAACATATCATTGGAAAAATTACCAATTTACGAAAATAATTCACAAGTACACATAGTGTTCGTTTTTCAAAAGCGCCTGATAATTTGAAATAGTTGGACGTAAGTTTGTATCAATCTTACATATTGCTCATATATTTCAATAAGGGTTGCGAAATTAAAACTTTAATATTTCGTTTCAGTTTGAATCTTTGTTAAAATATGTGGAGCTTGATTATATATGATAGCAATCGGTCCCAAGCCTTGGTTGCTACAAAGCTTTGCGCGGACAAGGAGCATGTAAGGTGACGGCGAGGCATGGCGTCATTGTTTGCAGAGAGGCCGCACACGGCTCCCGTGCAGTACTCGTACCACAGCATGTTCGTTGCGGCGGCCGAAAGCGCCGCCCTGTGGCGCTGCAAATCTTGCGGCAAGGAGGTGTCCAACCGCTGGCACCACTTCCACTCGCACACCGCGCAGCGTTCCATCTGTCCCTACTGCCCGGCAACGTACAGCCGCATCGACACTCTGCGCGCCCACCTGCGCCTCAAGCACGCGGCGCTGCTGCTCAAACATTAGGCATTGCACACACCAACGGCCCTCGACCTCTACCTTGCTCTGACACACACACATACAAAACAACACGTACACATACACACACATACACACACACACACATACACACACACACAAAACACACACGCACACTACACACAAACACGTACACTTATACAAATATTTATTTAAGTATTGTAACTGTAACTGTTTTATTTCTTGTTGACGTTATTTTAGTGGTTGTAACGTTTTACATTAATATAATTAAACGAGTAGGTAATTTATTGCACGTTTTCGTGCGTTATTTATTGTTCTAGTTAAGTGCGATATTCAAAAAGTATGTATGTATGTTTATAACTTACAGGGTAAATTGACATGAACTCGATAAGATTTTCAAAAAGCTTAACCTTTTAGCTATCGATAAGAGGATTTAAAAGATGTATTAAATTCTTTCTAAAGACTCAATTTTTTTTGTAAATTCTACGATAGTAATATCGGTCATGTGGTTGTTATTATGTATGTATTATTTGTAATTTGGGTTATGTTTTAGTAGGTACTGCGATGGGCGACATTTCTTTATGGTTTTTTTAGACCAGAATAAAAAGCGAAGCTTCTAATATAACTAGTAATTTGTGTATTTTATTAAGAACTTGTATCGGCATGTTCCATTATTTGATGTTGCGAAATAAATGTTTTAAAATGGTACGAAACGCTAAAGACTGAGATGGCAACAACTTGTGAACGATGGTAAAATTAAACAAGGTCTTTTGTGTGTCATGTAGTGTTAAATTTAAACCAATATAGGCCAAATTTGTGTAACTTTCCTTTATTATAATAACGTACGTAGACTAAATTTAAAAAATATACAACGCGTTCGATTTAAAACACTGTATTAAAAACACTTATCTCTTAAGAATCATTTCATCCCAAGATTATATTTTTGTATAAGTATTGTCTGCAGAAAACTAACTGTTTAGCTTTTAATGGTCCAATGACATCGGTAATATGAATAAATGTTAATATTGTATAGAATAACATGCTTTATGTAACATTATCTTGTAAATACTCTTCATGTCCTTCGCCGCATATTTAAATGACATCTTTAGCATATTTCAACTACATTATCTAACCGTTTAATAGAAATAAGTACATTTACTTGGTGTTAAAAGTCCCAATCTAAGAATGTAATAAAATTAAAGAAATCTTTTTAAAACTAAACATTTATCGATATTCTTTTGTTGTTTTTTATTTAATTTTCGAAGCTTCTTTATCTAATTAATCAGAATATTGGAGACTTTAAAATCAAAACCCTGTACTAGTTTAATTGGTATTAATAAGAAACCACTATTTGATGCTGTAAATAAATTCATGGAACATTAATCGTTATTCCATTATTTTACCTGAACACATAATGTATAAGCTTTATACCTTTTCTATTTATCTTTTCACTTATATAATAAGAAGAATACGAGACGTGTTATTAATTCTTTCCAAGTTCTTCTTACTACAATATAAAGACTTTTGATCTGATTCCAGAGTTATATAGGTTTTTGTTTGCTTTTGTCACCTTCAAACTTAATTATTTCAGCAAGAGAGTGAGATATTAGTCCCATACGTTTGTGATAATAAAACTACAATGAACAAAATTGAAATAATTTATTTTCTCATGATTCACATAATATTTTTTTTATTTTTACTGGATGATTCATTTTTAGATATAAACGCTTTTGTTGTAAAAAAATTAACAGGATATTCAGAAATCAATAAAAAAAATTATCAGTTAAATGTAACAATATTGTGTATTATATATCTATAACCTATGCTACTTAATAAAAACTGTACAAATTATACGCGCCAATAATGGTAACTCTAAATAATAACATGGTATTCTTAATTTGCTTATAAATAACTTAACCAAGAGCTATAAATACTTGATAGACCTCATTTGTTTTGCCTTCACTTTGTAGTTTCGCTACTCTAATTTTTCATGTTAATTGTTAAACATCGCCCCTTTATGCCTATAATAAATCATCACACAATGACGCCATACGGTTTCAAGTTATCTCCAGTTATTCAATATAAAAAAGAGAAACGAACTGTAAGTTTAACTGATGACTCGTACTAATAAACTGGTATCCAAAAAAATCAAAATATTTAAAATAACACCGCTTCAAAACATCGCTTAGAGACTTAAATGGCACGTGTCAATTTTAACAACTACCGAATTTCTCTTACTCAATATTTGGGTTTTACTAACCTCCTAAATGAGAGAAAGGTAACCACTAAAACAATAGAGCATGGCCATATTTTCCAACAATATTCATTAACTATTGAAAGGAAATTTGATTAATACGCTGGCTTATACCTTATTTGGTGAGAGACGAAAACCGTGAAGATACATAAATAGACTAAGCAAGTTATGTTATTATACAAAAAAATAAAAATAAAAGCTGGTCAAAAACAAAGAAATCTTTATTCTTAGTCCTTCTAATTAGCGAAATTTATGAAGGTTTCAATGTTAATTTGCGTGGTTGTAGCAATAAAATAACTTGCAGTCATGGCAGCGGAACGGTGGCCTAACGGAACGCATTTGCAGTTGGTGCAAATCACACCACTGTATTGCAGTTTACATGCAAATAACGTAATATTAATAACAAACTACCAAAAGCTTTCGTTTATTATATATAATAATATTAGTAAGATTTGAAGATAATCTCGAGAACTTTGTGTTGGTTACAAAGTTTATATTAAAAAAAAACTTTAAATAATTATTAAATATACTAGTAACGAAGAAAATCTTACTAAAGAAATTAAACTATCACAGTTTACTTGCCTCGTTAGGTACATTGATGTTAACGATATGGCAGATCTAATGAATCCTTGCAATTTGCTGTTCGACAATTGTTTAATCTAGTCTTCTAACCTTTGGACATTCCCGCTGGCACCTGATGTTGCTACAATAACGCTGGATTCGCTTACTTTATTTGATTGTTTATTTGTTCTGTCATCTTCTTTCTCATCTGATCTTTCGGAGACTTCATCCTTTTCATCTTCTTTAGAATCTTCATCTTCGTCACTGTCTATTTTGTCTTCAGCACTCTGCTTATTCTTGTTTTTGTTCTTTTTAAATTCTTCCTCCATTTCTTTAAACTTCAATGTTAAATATCTAAAAAGTGAAAAAATATGACGTCCAATTACCGTTGTCTGATTTACGCAAAACAAAACTGTATAGTATAACTTGCTAATAACATTTCCTATTATTAAGAATACTTACTTGTCAACTAATGGTCCGCTATAATCTTCAGGGAACTTTGGTGAATGTGGTAAAATATACTTGTACAAGCTTTCATTAAGTACATAGAGCTGTGCTGTTGAAGAACATTTGACGTTGAACCACCAATCGCAGGTAAGGGCCGCTTGAGAAAATATAGTTCCATTTGGACACAAAAATGAGGCTTGTCCACCATTTAAATCGCAGTAGTGCCATACCTAAAAGCAGAAAAATTATCATCCATTACCTATATACGTGTATGTGTAAACGTCCCCAATACGCTTATTGGAGACTGGCTAGTCTATTATGAATGATTTTTTTTGAAAATATGTCGAAATTCAGAAAATTAATGTTCCAAAAATTGTTATTTAAAATTCAAATCCACACCTGACATCTTGTTTCTGGATCAGCAAAAAATCCCTTGTAGCGTTGAGTCTTGCAATCGAATTTTGTTTGTGGTATCACTGTCAGAATAGGATAATCGATTCCAGGGTGTCCGGGCGTACCACCTTCTTCGTCTGATGTTATTGGTAGAGGGAATCGTTGACTGGTGCTACTATAATCTGCAACAAACAAGAAACATTATAATACATAAAATTCAACTTCATACATATATGGATCCAGATTGACTGGACCAAGATTTTAATTATTAGTGCAAAAAGTGTTAAAGACTAACCGTCTAAATGTTGTGAGGGATTTTCAACTTCTGCTAAATAAGCTTCGTCGCTTAAACCAGCTTCTTCAATGGCAGGTCCAGTAGTAGTTTGTAATATAGGTTTAACAGTAGTAACTGATGGTTTCGGTGCTTCAAATGGCGTAGGTGAACTAAGAACTGGAGGATCTACTTCACTTTGTTGAAGTTTTCCCTTCAAATCGTTCAAAGCTTGTAACAAAATTCGTATAGATGAACCTACATTTTCTTTTGTAATTGGTTTTGGAATAGATTTATTTAACTGTAACGAGTTCAAAAGATCTGCTAGAGTTATAGCATTACCAGTTTCGGGTTGCGGTTTGTATGTGGGTTGTTCGACGACGTATTGTTCATACTGGGATTTATCATTATCTTCTAAGGCTGGAGGACCGCTTTCAATTTGTAGTTCTTGAGGTTTTTCAACATCATAGTTATTAAGGTCTGAAGCCGATAACGTTTGTGTGTATGATAGGGGATTAGGTGTTTCTGTTGTTTGACTTATAATAGGCTTAAAACCTGTTTCAATCACGGGTTCAGATATTGGCGAAAGATTCTGTTTTTCGTAATAAACTTCTGAAATAGTCGCAGGTGGTTTTCTATTTTTACTATGTTCCGTTTTTAATTCATCAAAATGGTATTGCGGATGAGGTCTCGGTTTAATATAAACCGAATCGTTTGGATCTGCTGATGGAATGTTATAAAATTTCTTAGGTGCATTCTCATATTCTATTTGAGGCGAATTTTTTATAGGCGGGGTTTGATCGTACGGCACAAGTTTGTATTTTATATCATCTCTTTCAGGAAAGTAATACTGAGCATTTTCTTCGCTATGATGGACATTTAGATAGGGTTTTCTGGCTGAAGTGTATTGTACATTGGGAATTTTAGGTTCTTTTACAACGTATCTTCTAGGATCGTGTTCAGCAACATGATGATCTAATTTATATATTAATGGATTATAATGAGTTGTTACTTTCGGTATATTTTGTACAACTATAGGATAACCATCTTTATTGTAAAATATTTTTGTAGGATTTGCTGAGGCAATGTTGAAATGAGTTAAACGATTTCCTTGATATCTTGGTATATTCTGATGACGGTTTGTAGAATATACCACTTTCTGACCATGTTGTTGGGGTTGTAGTGCACCTGCTTCTACTATTTGTGCCTTCTCTACTTCAACGTTCTTTTTGTTGTAGGCCTCTGTTGTTGGTGCCACTAGATCGTTGGCGTAATAAAACGTCATATACGGTATTAATCGTCTGTATCTTTCATTTATAGCTAATTTAGTTGAATTCATTCTCGTATTTTTATTTTTCACAATATTTTTTCTTACATTATTTCCTTCGTTTTCTGTTCTGGAAGGGACAAAGCCTTTTTGTAAATCGACTCTTGCTCCTCCGACCATTTTGATTTCTGGACTGTTTCCATTTGGGGATATTGTGATTGGAGTTACGATGATCGGGATAACTGCAATAAAATAAACATTTATTAGCAAAATATCCTTAATTGTTCATCTTCAATACGAAAAGAGTAACATAGAGTAAAATGTGTTAACATAGAATTGATTATTTCGATCTAAAACCATTTATCCTCTTACGTAACATGACCTAAATACCAAATGCAATTATAACTAGCAAACGACCTGAGATTCACGAGAACTATTTTTATTGTTAAATCGATAGCGCAAAATTTAAATCATTCATCATTACTTACTTTATTGCCTACAATCGTAACCATTACCTTTTTACTGCCCATAATTAGTATAATAACTTTGATACAACTTAAAAAAATTAAGTAATTTTATGTTCAGCGTGACCAAATACATTTCCTATGCGCTTTAGTGCCTAAGAAATACAACTATATCACGAAATAGCAATTTATATCATCATTATATTAGACATGGCTCCGAGAATATATTTATACCGGATCCGTATCTGGAAATATTGATTAGCCTACTTACAAAGCATCGCATATCATTTATAGTATGTTTGTGCATTTTTATGTGTGTGCCTTCATTAACCTAAAACACATTTAGGTACGATTTTTCGTATAAATCGTCGTATTCATAGGTAATTTTAACTTTCAAAAATTGTTTACTGAATATTCAATAACTTTTACCTTATCTGACCTTGGATTAGATTTAGATTCAGATCTTAAAATATAGAACAGACACTGTCAATTAGATCCTTAAAAATAAAAATGTTATTTTGTATTGTGAATGGCGGAATTAAGAACAAGAGTTCGTTACACGAACCCGCCAAGGTCCGACCGACCGATATCACTTTATAATAAAAGTTATTCGATCGGAACCGTTTGTTACGTCTACTTCGGTCATATTTCATTGTCACACTTTTTATTGTACAAGGTTGTCAAGTGGATTACTGAATCGATGAAAAAACTATACCGTTTATATATAGTCTAGATATGTATATGTATCAATTTTAAATTCGAAATGTTATATTTATGATTCAACTAGCGCATTTAACATATCCGTTCTGTATTTATTAGTCGTGTTAGAAGCGTATGAAATAAATATGATAAAAAACTATGAGAACACAAAATCGGAAATTCAGTATCTAACAGTTTTAATAAATACTAAAGTTGTTTAATTTCGATTAAAATTCAATATAAATATTAAAATTTAATACCATACAAAATCCATGGTTGAACTCCTCTATATACATTTACTACATACTTTAGTATATATGTAAACTATGAAGTGATTAACTAACTTTATGATCCATGACGTATTTGCTTACAGTACGTAATGGATTTAGCTTGCCTGATATGTCTATATGATTTATAGTAAATCCTAATACATTATGACTCATGAAGTGACTAAACAGGTCAACATTATTAGATTTATTTGCAATAAACTATGTTTCATCTAATAACGCCACAATTAGATTTTCCTTGGAAAAGACTTCAACGATTTACATTCATATCTCGAGAGATGATTTGAGTACAAGAACAATGTTGAATTTATTTCTCTTAAAAATTGAACAACTCATAACGTTTTTCAATCAACCTAATTCAGTCCAACGTGGGATTGCAGTGTTATTTAAAAATTTGTCCCGTCATTTCAGTTTTCAACGCGAAGCTGTGATTTCCATTTTAAGCTAGCAAGCTTTGTTAGTCACGATTAATAAAAGGTTATCTTAAACTTAACAACGTCATGAACGTAGATAACAAAGTATCACGGATATTGGTGACTACATAATTTTTATTTTGTTGGAAATTTGATCATTTCACTATTTTTCCCACACTTTAAACGTTTTACATTGTGATTTGAATTTTTTAATTTTGCGTCAGAATAGTAACATTTATTGTATCATGTTAGCTGTATCGGCTAGATGTCCAAAAAACCTTGGACTGTGGAATTTACTTATAATATCAAGGGTGATTCGTGACAACTAAGTACGTTTACTTCAATGACTACACAATAAGGAAATCCGCTAAGTAAACAAACAAATTAGAATGTGTTTCATGTAAATTGGTAACAAAAAGTATTAACTAACTGAGAATATTAAAACATTCTTTGAATTTAGAAAAGAGATAAAAAAAAGAGCAAAAATAGAATAAAACTTTGCGATTAGTGTTTAGTTATTTATTTGTAACTCGGATTTAATAGTTGCCGTTGTTTTTCACATTGAAGATGTTATATATAATAATGTTATAATAATATCTATAAAAACATACAGATGTAATTATTATGTGATGTGTATATAACGATTTAACGACAACTTTCTAGATGTTGATTAAACTGAAGGAAATGACTTTCACGCATTCTGTGAGAGACGCATTTAAAAACGATTTTGTTTAGTTTAGTTATCAAATCGATCAACGGATGTGAAATCGTAAGAAACTTTGTCTTTTTGCTACCGCAAAGTTCTAGACTGGTGGTATTAAAAACGAGCTTTGGCATCCGCTTTCAACGACGGAAATTTTACATCCTGTCAACAAAAAATCATTAAAGAAATCACTTTCACTACAATCATCCAAATATGTGAGAAACATTCTGAATTTTATATTTATATTTCTGTCGGCATTGTGTATACTTTTCAGTTATTATGCTGTAACAGTTAGGTATGATGTAAAAGAATATATTTAGTGTAAATAGGGTAACTCCTTGTTACTTGTACTTGTATATTATTACATTTCAGTTGTCTATAATGTTAAAGTAAGTGCCTTTGCATTATTCCTTAGTTATATCGTTGATCAGCCCATAATTTGTCTATATCTACTTAATTTTTTAAAAGTGAAATATTTCTGTTCTTTGGTAAAACGTAAACACAATGATATGATGTTGCACGCTATTAGTGGATCAACGTGATAACAAAAATGTCGTGGGTCACGCGTCACGCTCTCTGTCGCTTGGGTTTAGCCGAAATCATAGAAAGCGTGTGTTTTTATAGTGAAAGTGATTCACGAGCACATGGCGGATTGACGCCACAACACGTTGCATAATACCCCGTGTTTACCGATCAATGAGTTTCTGATATATCACGTTCAATCTGTATTCACGAAGGTAAAAGAATAAATAATACAAATTCTACAGATTTCTTTATGATCGGCATTGCATTACCTACAATAAGTATCATAGTTTTACCACGATAAGTGCCACCGACTTTGTTTTAATATGAAGGATTCGTAGTGGCATTAAATGTGTTATATTATGACTGGAATACAATTTGTGTAAAGACCGTGAAAGTCTCATCCTTTTTAAGCTTGAATTTCTTTTAAATTGAAGGGCTTTACTGGCAGCATAGCATAATAATTGTAAATTAATTCTCTGAAAACAACGTTTAAAATATTCACTTGTTTTTTTAAGGTTTATAAAGAACGTATAGTACGGTCTGAATGTAAACATAATTACAACATGCTGTTTGCGTATTGAGACTGTCTCTTGATGTAACACTGCGTTTCATGCAATACACATTTTCTTATTTCACATGCGTGACAAAATAAACAAGTTATAAATTAAACATTTTCACGATCCCTTAAATGCGTTTTGTATACCGTTCCGGTAACTACCCTCATAATTGCTTGCTTAGCATTTTAGTACTCGTAAGATTTAAGTAACTCTGTCCACTTAAGGTATTATTAGTTTTATTAAACGAATTTCTGTGTCAGAGAAATGCTAGTTCATTACCATAATGTTAAGACAGACGATGAATTAGAGATAATAAAAATGAACATGTCAATTAAATTTCCATCAAACCACATGTTTAATATAATATAAGCACCATAATGGAGTCGTACCATAGATATATTTCCGGATTATTCCGGTTTGTTTAGACGATGTTTACGAGTGTAACATTAAGCCCGCTACACAGATCAGTAACGGTGTAGCTAAAACTGAATATGTGCTGCCTGCTTTATGCGATTAGAAATAATATACATAGTTATAAATTTGAAACACTATGAAAGGAAGCTCATTGTTGTTAAGGTAAAAACGCTAAAAAGTAACAAACCATACCAAAAATAGTTTTGCGATATTTGTAAAAAGTTAAACATGTTAATAAAAATTTCTCTCATTGGACTGCACAGCAAATTTCGGTTTTAATTTACATATTTTTAACATTTCTCCTAAATTTGCGTGCATCCATTAGATTTGTCTAGATGTTCTAATGCTTGCATACTAAATATCACTTTCTTGTGCCATCTGAATGGTAATCCTTAAAACAATGCATATAGAATTGTTAACATGTATGGTATCGTATTCTCAGAGTTTCCCTTGACTTTCTTGAATGCACTTTGCGAAGAATCTTATTAAAATTAACCTTTCACATACATTCATTATAAATAACTCGATGGTAAATGTCACCTTTAACCACATAATTTTAAGTACATGTTATAAAGGTTATTGGTGCTTCTGTTTATTCCAATTGAGTTTAAAAATTTTACTACTTAAGTAACTTATACGATATTAAAAGATGTGGCCAAAAAAATCCGTATCATCTTTACGCAATCCAATACATTACAATCATAATTTTCTACACTCGCAATTGTATCGTATACCTAAGTGTGTCAAGGTTTTAATAACTCTTAAGATTTTTTGCTTACTTCTTTCTAGACATGAATAGACGTCTAAAGCTGCGTTTTTAATATCGTAAATTAACTATACATGGTTATGTATTTTACAGTAACAAGCTTTCACGGATAATAATGCCTATGCGCTTTAAACTGTACAATTTTCTTTGCAAATATTACCCTTATTTAGTCTCTGTTGGAAACTGAGGTCGAAAACTATCTTACAACCAGTCGACTATAGGACGACTACCGGACAAAAAACAGTCTCCTACTATAGTTTGTGTAATAAAATTAGTGTAATTAGATCTTGAATTGTAACATTCTAAATAAGTGGTGTCAATGACAAATAGTTAAAATTTCTTTCGCAGTTTGCTCTATACTTTTTGTTGCGACACATGATGAAACTGAGGTATTCTTTTCCAAATGCTTTAATA